AAAAGAATAGAATTAATCCCCTCCCCCCTGGTACCGGGAATCGAACTCATGACCTTGCGCTTGCCAGGAAGACACTGTGCTGGAGAGCTAAATCCCCAGCCCCTAGAATTAGTTCTTTGAAAATGTCGAGAAAATTGGCTTTTTAGCTAGATTGACTCAGAGAAAAGAGATACAGTTAAAATAAATGAGGTCAGAAATGAAAAAAGGGGCTAGGGATTAAGCTCAGTGGTGCAGCGCCTGCCTGGCAAGCATGAGATTCTGAGTTTGATTCCTGGTAACTGCCCCCTATAACTCCCTATAAGAGACTCAGTTTAGATCTGAGGACATGCATATGTTGAAAGTGAAAGGATAGAAAAAAGATATTCAATGCAGATATTAAGCAAAAGAGAACAGAGATAGGTGTATCAATATTAGACAAAATAGTTTTTAAATCAAAAACCGTTAGAACAAAAAAAGTGGATGTTATGCAATGATTTGACACGTTCCTGCTGGCTTGAACCACCAATGAATGCATGATTTCCACCAGGTACAAGCACCCGATGGGAATGTTCCATGCTGCCTAGTCCTGCATGTACGACTGGTGGTTCAGAGCTACCTGACAAGGAAACATACAAATTATGGCCCTGTTGTGAGTGTGTTAAAACTCAGTTTATCAAGGAACTACAACAGTTATTAACCTGAATGCACCAAGCGCCAGAACTCCAAAATATATGAAGCAAGCAGAGAATTTATAAAGGGAGAAACAAACAGCTCTACAGTAACAGTAGGAGACTTTAGAATCCCATTTTCAATTATAGATAATATATTGAGACAGAAGATCAATAATAAAGGACTTGAACAGCACTGCTCAAGTTAGACCAGCAGACATGAACAGAATTCTCCTAACAGAACAATAGCAGAATATGTTTCTCTTAAGTGCATGTGGAACATTCTCTAGCATAGACCCTAATTTAGATCACAAAACAAGCCTTTGTAAATTTAAAAAGATTGAAATCATAAAATGTATTTTTTTTTCCATTTGCAGTGGTCTGAAACTAGAATCAGTAGCAGAGGAAAAAATGGAATAGTCACAAATGTATGGAAATTAAACAGCATTCTTTTCACTCACCAAAGGGTGAAAAAGGAAATTAGAAAATGCTTGGAGACGAATGAAATTACAACATATTAAAACTTATAGGATAAGTGAAAGAAGGGCCAAAAGAAATTTTTACCTATCAATGCTTACATTAAAAAAGGAGAATTTCAGATCAGTAAGCTAATGTTTCACCTTTTGGAACTAGTGGGGGAAAAGAAAAAAGAAATTAAACCCAAAGCTAGCAGAACAGTAAAGAAACAGAACAGCAAAGATTAGAGCAGAGGCAAGCAAATAGCAAAATAAAGAAATCAGTTAAACCAAGAATTAGTTCTTTGAAAATGTTGAGAAAATTGGCCTTTTAGCTAGATTGACTCAAAGAAAAGAGATACAGTTAAAATAAATGAGGTCAGAAATGCAAAAAGGTGCTGAGGATTTAGCTCAGTGGTGCAGCGCCTGCCTGGCAAGCATGAGGTCCTGAGTGTGATTCCTGGTAACTGCCCTCTCCAAAAAAATACTAGAGGAAAAAAGAAAGAAATGAAAAAGGGAATGTTGCTACCACTACTACTACTGCAGAAATACATCAAGGATTATGAGACTGCAATGAACAGTTGTATACCAGCAAATAATTCAGCCTAAGTGAAATGTACAATTTTCTAGAAATATACAACCTACCAAGACTAAATCATGAAAAAAATAACAAAACTTGACCACATCTGTAACTGTACAAGGAGACTGAGACAGTAATTAAAAACCTCTCAACACAGAGAAGCTCCAGACCAGATGGCTTTACTAGTAAATTCTACCAAACAAGAATTAACAGCAGTTCTTCTCAAACTCTTCCAAAACTTGAAGAGAAAGAAACACTTTGTAATTCATTCTGTGGTGCTAGCAATACCACAATACCAGTGTCAAAGGCAACACAAGAAAACTGTAGACCAATTAGCTCTTGTAAATATTAATGCAGAGTTGCCCAATAAAATGTCAGGAAACCAAAGTCAGAAACATGTCCAGAGGACAGTACACTAAGTAGTATGTATTCCTGGCATGCAGGGATAATTTAACATCTTACAAAAGTCAGTCAGTATAACTTATCACAATAATGAAAGAGGAAGAAAATCCCACACTGCTTGTTTCATTTCATACAAAGCATTTGACTAGACTTTCATGATTTAAAAAAATACTTAACAATAATAAGGAAACTACTTTAACTGAAAGACCATTTATGAAAAACTCACAGCTGATATGGTGTTCGATGGTAAAAGACTAAAAAATAATTTTCCCCTCTTATCAGTGATAAGGAAAAGAGGCCTGATTTTGGCAGAAAATGACAGCTATTGTGTGTGGTTTTCCTCTTACATTACACCTAGGATAATCAAATTCCTAGAAATGGGAAGTAGAATGGTGATGACTCAGAGAATTGGACAGAGTTACTATTTAATGGATAAGGAATTTTATGAAAATGCAAGTTCTGTAAATATGTGGTCGTGATGGTTACTCAAGGGTGTGAATGTAATTAATAACACTGAACTATAAACTTACAAATAGTTAAATATTCTGTATATTGTGCTACAGAAAAATCGAGAGAAAAAAACTGGTTATGTAGAAGTAAATACCAATGAAATCACTGTGGATCATTATAAGTTTTGATGCTTAGATTTTTTAAATTAATTTTTTAAAAAAGAAAGAGTTAAAATAAATGAAACAAGATTATATAGAAAACTAGAAAAACAAAGTAAAAATAGAGAAATTTATGTTATATTATTCAAATAATACAGACAATCCAAGTTTTAAATCATTAACTGAAAAGAAATAAAATAATTAATTTTTGAAAAGTCTAATCTGACAAGTTGGGTATTGCAGTGTACTCCTGTAATCTCAGCATTTGGGAGGCTGAGGCAGGAGGGTAGCCATGAGTGAGGTCCCTACCTGGGCTACACAGTGAGTTCAAAGCCAGCCTTGTCTCAAAAAAAAAGAAAAACCAAAACAAAGACAGATTAATCTGAAGGAAATTTTTGAAAACTCTAATCTGAGAGAAAAAAGCAGTTATACTCAAAGGTTTAAGTAGAAAGACTTACTAATCAGATTATAATATTGTATATCATATATACAATTTTATCCAAATACTTTTAAAAGAATAAAGACAGCAGCTATTTATTGTGTTTATTGTGAACCAGGAACTATTCTTAGTTACTGCCTATGTATAGTGGCGTGAAGTGATGGGCACTTGTTGTACCCTGTTTATCTGTGAGAAAGCCAAGGCAGTGTGAATTTAGTAATGTGCTCATGTTCACAGTGAGTAAGCAGCCGGATTAGCATATGTGTAGTCTGACTAGAGAGCATCCTCTGCACCCCACCCTCTCATCTTAGGATATTTGGTGTAATTTTATATTTTCATCTAGGTCATCAAAACCTAGTATTTTGTTTTTCCAATTATTCCCTCAAAACATACTGCACTCCTGTTTCCCTTCCTCTCTCTCCTGCTCCTGTCTTTGGTAGGAGGAACCAAGAAGAGAAGTGAAGGAGTTGTACATACGTGTTGTAACCTTCATATTGTGTGGCATTCCTTCAGTACTTGTTTCTACAAGGTGAAAGATCCGTCACTTACAGCTCCTTATTTTATAGATGAAGAATAGGTACAAAGTAACTATAGAAAAGTTTGTAAAGATTAAAGGAGGTGCATTATAACAGTCTGTCTTGTTCACTAAGCATTTGGCTAGCACACATCTAAAGGGTATTTTCTTAGATCCATTTCTGGTTTTCTTTGAGCCCAAATTTATTGTGAGATATCCTCTCCATCCCCTCCAGCCACATGCTGGGAGAGAATGCACAACTGACCCAGGCTGTGCTTCCTCACAGGAGCCTTTGGTTCTCTGGTGGATAGAAGATTTGCAGGACCCAGGGTGCACTCTGGTGTAAGTCTTTCTCTGTGAGCAGGAATGGGGACCACCAAGTATAATGACTTACACAGTGACCTTACAAACTCGAATATAAATTTTCCCTAACCTTAACATTTGCAGTCATGTAACTGTGCCCCTGTCCGCTCCCTCCTTCCAGCAGCTGTAACAGGCTTTTAGGAACAGGTGGCCTGATCCAGAGCATCTGTCCCATATGAAAGCTGCAGGGAACGGACCCATGGTTAATCACTGTGGTAAGTCAGGTTAGACTTAGAATTAGTACTGTGGTCCATATCAGAACACCTGGGGTTCAAGTCAACAGAGTCGTTCAGTCAGACCCACTTACTGAAATCTCTATGAAAGTAGACTCTAAATCTGCACCTTCATAGACTTTCCAGTTGGTTAACTACTTTTCCCTAAGGGTTTTTTTTTTTTTTTTACTTTTATACAATTTTATTAAACTATAATTGCCCTATAATAAGTTGGGTGTACTTTAATCCACAGTTGGTAAGTTTTGACATTTCTGCATCTGTGAAACTATCACAACATGCAAGATCATGAAAACAACCACCACCTCAGATTTTTCCTTTGCTGTTTGTAATCCATCCCTCTGCCCCTCCCCACCTCTTATCCCCAAGCAACCACTAATCTGCTTTCTGTCACTATGGATTAGTTTACAGTTGGAGGAGTGTGATAGAAATTAAGTCATTTGGGAATAATGCATTCATATGGAGTGCCCTAAAAGAAAAACGTGAATTTAGGAAAAGTTTAGAACATTAGAAGGTGAGGATGGTAAAAGAAATAAAGTTGATATATACATTTTTTTCTGTAATTTTTTCTCCTCAATAACTAGTCTCTATGTGAATATACATTTTTGCATTGTGGCTAAATGACATAGCGTACTTAACATAAAATGTTCATTTTTAAATTAAAATGTTCCATTTTTATGTTCAAAAATTGACTCTTAGTTTAAATTGAAAGTTGTTTTAGTTAATTTTTATTTTTGTTTTTGTTTTTTATTTCTTTTGCAGAGCATATAGGATTGGACAATGCAGAGATGTTAAAGTGTTTAGGCTGATATCCTTGGGAACTGTGGAGGAAATCATGTATTTACGACAGGTGTACAAACAGGTAAATGTATTTCCCTTTTCCTAATTAAGAAGTAAACATTTTTCTATTTTCAAAACTTAGGAACATTTGTGAACAAAATATTTTTTATTTTACTCTGCCTTATGGAATTGAATAAAGATATACTTTTCAATATGCCTCTGTGAAACAGATTAATACTGAAGTTCATTGATTTTTTTAGTACTGAAAGTTTCTTAGAGCAGTTCTTAAACATTAGTGTGTAATGTTAATATGAATTACTTATGAATCTTATTAACATGCAGGTTCTGGTTCAGTAGGTCTGGGGTAGAACCCAAGATTTTTCATTTTCAACTGGTCCCAAGGGGTGCCTGTACTGCTAGTCCACAGATCACAATTTTAGAAGTGAAGTCACACCTCCCCAAACAGTGGGCCAAGATACAATGGTCTGCCGCTGGTAGGTTACAGGTGCACTGACATTGACCCCACAGCTCCGGGGCAGCTAGAGTGCCTAAGCCAGCATCCAGCCTTGAGTAACCTCCCCTGCGTACTCCAGATAGATGTTTGTGTGTTACCATTTTCTACATGTGCCGTGATGTGAGAGTGATGGGAAGCACCACCTGACAGATACTATACATAATGAAGCTGAGACCATGGAGATGCCCAGTAAATGAGACTGTAGAGGGATAGGATTCATGCATGCTAACTACTGTGCTGGTGCTGTTTTACTATTCATCTAAAATGGCATTACTTCTCTAATATGCTTAAGCTATCAATTACTTCTCTATTTATACTTTAAATAAACAGCACTTCATTTATAACTGCTCACTTTAGAAGATCTGGAATAAGGTTCACATTTAATTGTAAATGTTAAATTTAAATTGTTCTCTGTATACTTGGTTGGCATCTGTTTAAGAGCAAACATCTGCCACAGGTGGTGGTAGTTAACCCAAGAATGATCCAATCTTAAATTTATGCTGTTTTCCTCGTTCTAAAAATGGAATTGTACACAGCAGACTTACTTTTTCTTAAACCATTTAGCTCCATAAGAAATGGTTCATCTTTTTGTTCTTTGGTATAACACAACTACTTGAAAATGATTATTTCTAATCTACTTAACCAACCTTGAAAAAAATTAGAATAGAAGTGATACCTTGGTTCATGAACTTAATTTGTTCTATGGTTTTGGAAAAGATGACCATGTTTGTGTTCATGTGGGAAAGATGGCAATGGTTGTGTTGGTCATCTGATGCAGAGTTTGCAAACAAAATTTTGCCAAATGCTTCTGTTTGCAAACCAAATTGTTTGCAAGCAAAAACATTCATGAACCAAGGTACCACTGTAGTTTCCATCTTAGGAGCTGGTCATTAGAATATTCTTGACTCATCACAAGAGCGTTTTCTCAGTCATGTAATTTTACTCAACCTATTATTACATACATTTCCTTTATACCTATTCATCTTGATTCATTTAATAAAATAAAATGGCTTGTTATATAATAATATACATTAAAAGTTTTCAGGAGATAAGATAATTTAAGTTGTCAGAGCTCTGTATGATACAAATAAGGATAAGATGGCAGTCACATAAGGGAAAGGTATTAACAGGTTTATGACGGAGCCATAATCTGTATGTCTCATGGCCAGGGAGCTCTGAACCACCAGTGGTATATACACGATTGTAGTGGTTGAAGACAGCAGTAATGTTAAAGATAGTTGAAAGATGGCTAAAAATTTGAACCACGGGTGCCTATGGGACACACTCCCACCTCCCAAATATTCCTCAAATCTTTGGAGGAAAGAATTTTTAAAACCAACAACAAAAGGCAACTATAAACATGAAAGCAAAAATAGTTCTCTCAGTGGCGCAAAAATTGTGAGAAATCCTGAAAGAAAGCAGCTGGGATTAAATTTAAAGAAAGAACCAACCTTAACACATAAGAATACTGAAAAAAGTAGTTGCAACTTAGTGTCCTCCAATCTTAGAATCAGCAGGTATTACAAAAAGAAGGGATACTGCAGTAATTCCTTGATGTATATTTGATGAAGGAACAAGGTAGTTTAATTTTTAGAGTCTTATCTAAATTGTACCAGATTACAGCCAACAGAGGTGTTTACTCTAGTGGAAACAAGTGGAAATACTGGAAGCAAAGAAAGTGTTTTTCCTGATATCCAGAGGAAAGTCCCTCCCATTGCCCAGGAGACTAAATACTTCTACTGCCCCACCACACTTCAAATAACCATATAAACAGATAAGCCCTTAACAAAGCCTCTGTTAGGAGTTTATTTGTACCCCTTACTCTTGAAAAGAAGTGTTGAAGCCATAACCCCTAGTATCTATGAACTTAATCTTATTTATGTAAGTAGTGTCTTTGCAGATGAGCTTAAAATGAGCTCATCCCCAGGGTGTTGTCTAATCCAGTGTCTGACGTACTTATAAGAGGGAAATCTGAATACAGACACACACTGACAATGAAGGCAGAGATTGGAGAAACACCATTGCAAGCCAGAAAATACTCTGCTTGCCAGCAACTTCCAGGAGCCGAGAATCTGTGAACCTTCAGCCCCTAGAACTTTCACAGAAAACACAGCCACACGTGTACCTTGCTTTCAAGCTCAAGCCTGTGAGGAATGAATGTCTGTGGTTTTAAGCCATCCACCTTGTGACTCTTACAGCAGCCTTAGGAAACTGATACAACTTCTAAGGCCTATACCAAAGCTGGCTAAATTTCTGTATGAAACTTCTGTAAGACAGCAAAACTGAAACCAAATTAAAAGAGAAATAAAAATAAAATAAATTAAAAATTAGAAAAAGAGAAATGAGGAAATGTTTGCCATTTATACAATAAAGGAGAAGCACTTGCAAAATACTAAAAACTTCCATAAGCTAATAAAAGTCCATGAGTAGACATTTCTCTGAAGAAAAAAAATAGAAATGGTTAATACATATATGAAAAGATCTTTAACCACACTCATAACCTAGAAATATAAAATAAAATATCATGTGTTCTACACATTCCACAAAAGCTTCTTTTTTTTAATTTTTGGTTTTCTTTTGCAGGTTTTTTTGGGGGGTGAGTTAGGGAGATTAACACCATTCACTATTGGTAGGCCTATGTGTAAAAAGGTATTCACATGTGATGGTTGGTAATACAACTGGCATATAATTAGTCTGGAGGCTAATTGAAGCATTTATAATTCACAGCACCTTCTCCATACCAACTGGACATAAATGCTCCTGTATATGCACAAGGAATGATGACAAAGATATATATTCAGTGTTGTTTGTGTTTAAGAAATAAAAAGGAAACAAGCTGAGCATAGAATGATAACAAATTGTTATACCAATTATAGAGTATTCTGCAACAGAAAAAGTATGAAATCAGAGTCAGATCAAATATACTGATGGGACTTGGCCTCTGATATATTTTGAAGTGAGTCAAAAGCAATGTGAAGAACAATATGTATAGTATATCAGTTGCATTTGTGCGTAAGACTTTATGCATATATAAATAGCTGTAACTGTACTGATAGTAGACATTTAGAAGGGTAGACATAAACTCTTGGATTCTAATAAGGGGAAATCTGTGCTGTTTGAGGAACTTTTCACTTTGTTGTGTCTTGTTTGCATCTGTTATGATAATGCATTCAGATATAAACTTTTAAAAATAACATTGTTTATATACCACCTGTACTCCTTTAGGTTTAGAACACTATATGAATTCTAGAGTTTGGTGTTCAAAAACTGTCACACACAACATACACATATATTTAGAAATACTTACAGAAAAATTGTAAGAGCAGCAGAGAATCCCCAAACTTTACCCAGGTTCCCTAGTTGGTAGCATTTTACATGTTTGCTTTCTCTTTCACTTAGCCATTATGATTATCCCTTTTCTGACCCATTTGAGAGACTATCATAAATTTATCACTAGTGTGTATTTTCTCCAAACAAGGACACTGCCCTATTTATATATCATATAAAAATGTAGTTTTAGCTGTGTGTGATAATGCACGCCTATAATCCCAGTACTCTGAGAGTGAAGCTTGGGCACTTCATGAGACTCTGTCTCAAAATTAAAATTGAAAAAAAAAAAAAAAATGCTGGGTTTGTGTCTCAGTGGAAAGGCCCCGGGTTCAATCCCCAGTACTGCAAAAATAGTTAATTTTAAAATGTAGTTTATACATTATAAACAGTTATTGTTCTGCAGCTTACTTTGTTTCCCCCATTCTCCTCTCCAGAATGCAGTTATTCAAACCATTAATATACCTCATTACTAATCCACTGGAATTTTCCCAGTCTCCCCAAAACAGTGCCAATATCCCATTTCTCACCAAATTTGTATCTATCCTTAGCATTCATTGATAATTCCTGTCTTAAGTATTTTTCTCATTGCTCCAACAGAATACCCTATACCCAAAAGTTAAAGGAGGAAAGGCTTATTTCAACTGACAGTTTGTAGAGGTTTCAGTGCACAGTTGGCTGGATCCAAGGCAGGGTGGCATGGCAGAAGGGTATCACTGGTGAGAAACAGTTCATGGTATGGCAGACAGAAGGCAGCAGCAGCAAAGAAGCAGCAGCCAGCCTGCCTGCCTTCTCTCCTTTTATATTCCATCCAGGCTATAAGCCTGTTGATTGGTGCCACACACACAGAGGGTAAACTTCCATTATCCAGGACTTCACTGAACTCATTTAGTTATCACACACCTAGATCTAACCACCTACAAAAAGCCCCATGTGTGAGTGCATGAGGCTTTGAGAAGTACATCTGGATACACGTTATAACAGTTCCTGTCTGAATTAGCTACTCTCATGATGGTTGTCCTGTGTGATTTTTCTGTTTCCATTATTCTTTTCTTTTTGTTCATTGGCATTCTACCACAAAAGAGAGCCTTTTCTTCTCTTTATTTAATCTGTGTGGACTCACGGCTTCCTATTTTAGTAACAGATTATAACCCATTGAATAGCACTATTTTTGAGTTCAGATTGTCTCATTTGGCCCATGGGAACCCTGTCAAGGTGGCTACCTGTGTCCTTTTGGCGTGACCCCTCCTTTTTTTTTTTTTGCACTTCTTTACTGTGGTAGGCTGAATAATGGTCCCCCAAAGATGTCTACATCCTAATTCCCTATCCATGTAGGTTATCTGGGTGGGCCCAGAGTAATCACAAGGGTCCTTGTAATGAAGAGATAGTAGGATGGAGAAAGCGGAGATAAAAATGTGTACAGGCAGACGCAGAGGATCTCAGAGAAAGATGGGAAGATGTCATAGTATTGGCCTTCAAGATGGAAGAAGGGGTTTTGAATTTCTTAACATGATGAACATTATTTTCTTTTTGCTTCTTTTTCTTCTTTGTCTTGTCTAGTGTTATGATGAAATTCAAGTATTTTGTGGTTTTGTGTGGGTTTTTTCTTAAGCTTCATTTTCCAGCTATTTTTCTTCCTGTATCCATTTGAATTCAAACATGACTAGCCTACTGATGAAAATACCTGGTTCTCACTTTTGCTTAAACCACTTTGGAAAACTTAGCTGAAGTACAGAATAATGTGCTTTTTATAAACGTGGTAAACTTTTGTTAGGAAACTTACAGAGTCACATTAAGGCTTGCAAATTACTGTGCTGATTATAGTTAGTAGATCTGCAATCTGACAACATCAGTGTTGAAGGCACTCAATAGAGTAAAGTAGAAAACTGAGCCATCACTTGCAATTGTGACTTTATATTCCCAGGATTAAAGCACATATTCCTGGTAACATTGCTACTGAACTGATCGAGTTGCTATGTTGATGAATAACTTTTTCAAACTAAGCTCCTGACAGTCTTCTTTTAAGAGAGCTATCTTTTGGTGAGAAATTGTTAAGAGTATGTTTTTGATTTGGCCAAACCTAAGTACAAATTTTAGAATTGGCACTTCTTAGCCAGCACAGGTAGGCAGGTCATTTTTCTAAAGTTGTTTTTATTTCTAAAGTGGAGAAACTCCAGTTTTATTATTTCTGAAATGGAGATAATATAAATACAGGGATTAAATGAGAGAATGTAAATAAAATCTTATACATATAGTAAGTATTTCACAAATGACAGTTATTAATAAGAATTTAAAGGCTGGGGATATAATTGCCTAGCATGTGTGAGGCCCTGGGTTTAATCTCTAAAACATTCATACTTCACACACTCACACACACATACACACAAAAAATTTTAGTTGCTTAGATAATTTATTGCAGTGCAAATCGACTCTGATGATAATCAGAATAGTTAAGTGTTACTTTTTACTACACTTTTCATTGACAGTAAAGTTATTTTCCATTCTGTGCATTTTTTCTTACAGACATTTTAAAGTATTTATAAGGTTAATCGGACTGTATTTTAATTTTACATATTCACATTACATTTGGTAAAATGTCCAGCAAACAAGGTACACATTAATGTTGTCACTAACATGGTGTACCTCCTTAATGATCCCATATAAGTGTTCTTTCCCCTATTCAAAATTGTTTCAAAGATGCTACATTTCTACACAGTGATAGGGCTTTTGCTGTTAGGTAACAGTGTAGTCAGGTACGATTAGTTTGATACCAACATGGTTATCTTATATTACTTTGGAATATAATTTACCCTTACTGTTATAGTGATTGTTTCTTCCATTTTTAAGTTTCTAGTTCAGTGAGCCTAAGAAGAAAAGTGTATTCAAGTATATGCTTTTATTATTAAACATTTTGTCAGGTGGATATTCCATGAAAATGTAATCTTGACTTAGTTGTTAGAAAACAGGTAAAATAAAAAATACAAGATCTCTGCTTCAGTAAGACTGACCTGATTATTGTTATATTTCACCATAATGGCAACATCTGCCAGGGAAATTAAAACAAAATTTCCTCCCTAAGGAAATCTCAGCCTTCTCCAGCTAAAGCTGTGTATATACAGAGAATGCCAGGAAATTCTGACATATTGTTGGAACAAACACTTCAAAAATATCTTGTGTTTTTCTGTTTTAGCAACTTCACTGTGTGGTGGTTGGAAGTGAAAATGCCAAGCGATACTTTGAAGCAGTTCAAGGATCAAAAGAACATCGAGGAGAGCTTTTTGGGACCTATAACCTCTTCACATTAAGATCTCAAGGGTCTTGTCTTACAAGGGACATCTTGGAGGTGTGAAATTGTTCTCTGACCCTTTCATTAATACAGTATGCTGAATGTAGTTTTATCCTTTAGGAATCTTGAAATACAATTTTTGGTGACTTTTCAGAGAAATTTTCAGTTTTCCTTATCAAAAATACCTATGCTTAGACATTTTACTTTTAAAGAAATAGCAAATGAGTCCTTGTACCTCTAAAATAGGGTTTTCCCATGCATATTTTAAAATAATGCACGTATGCATACAGATATATGTATGAAAGAGTATGACCTCCAAAGCCATTTTCAGAGTTGCACAGGGAAGTTTATTTTGAAAATAGCTGTTAAAGTAAAGAATTAAAAATAAATCCTAAATACAAAACTATAAAATATGTTTTGATTAAAAGTTACCAAATACTCCCCAAGATGTGATTCTGCTCCCAATAAAAATTCCACACTAATATTTCACACTCTTCCACTGTTTCATCTTCAGCATTCAGATGTTTCTTATTTTTCAAGTGAGTTATTTATATCTCTTTGAAAAATCTTTAAATTCTTTAATATACTAGAGTAGTAAGGATATTAACCTGTTTTCTAATTGACATTAGTATGGATGTCATAAGGTCCTGGAATAATCCTCTTTTTGATTTCCTTATAATATGGATGGCAAAACCGAGTCTGGGAGAATATCAGGCTGTTTGCCTCGACTTCCTGAACTTTATAGTGAAACCTTAATGTAACTCATTAATAAGCACTACAAAAATTTTTTTTAAAAAATTGGTCCCTGTACTTGAGGAACTTAGACCATGTTGATGGGAGGTGGAAGAGGACATTTACATAATGAATAAACAGTATTTACATAATGAGTGAACAGTATTTACATAATGAATAAACGGTATTAAGAATGCAAGTTCAATAATAGTTGGAAATGGCCACCAATTGATGAGAAAGAAGAAGGTGTGCATTATTGGTGTCCTGGAAACATTTGAACTGTTATACACTATGTGATGTTTGCTGCTGAGTTTTTATGTTATAAGAAGTGCAGTATTTGATTCTGAATTGGAAAGCCAGTGAGTTTGGAAGGGGACAAATAAGAACAAGAGATGGGGTGTTAAAGAGCTGCACTGTGCAGGAATTTTGACTTTTATTTTGAATGAAACAAAAACAACTGGAGGGTTATAAAGAGAAGACATAACCTGATTTATACTACCTTGACTGTTGAAAACTAGACTATAGAAGTCTAACAGAATTTAACTTGAGGAGGGTGGAAGCAAGAAGCCAGTTAGGATACTGCAGAGATGATGATGGGTTGAGCTTGGGTGGTGATGTTAGATTGCATGAGAAGTGGATGGAATTCTGCACCCATTATGAAGAGGGAGCAGTTGGGATTTGTTGATGAATCGTATACAGGGTATGAGAAAAAGGGGAGTTTTGGATGGCTAAGCAACTGAAAACTGAAGTTGCCATTTACATACCACAAAGGAGTTCCTCCAGCTGAGGATTTCTGGTCCTGCCCATTGCATCTGTTATTGCCATTTGGTATGTGCTGAAGAGGAAAGTGGCAGTGCTAGAATGAGATTCCCATCTCCTCACAGTAATAACCTCTAAGTGTGTGCCAAAGGACCTATTCTTCTCCAGAGATTTGTAGGAGAGACTCTCACCTGTTACACTGGACACCAGGTGGCTAGAACATGCTGTTGGTGTATCTGTATATGTGTAAACTGGGCACTTGTAACTCTAGTGATAGCAGTGTTATTTTCCCTTGTTCTGCCAGTATTAGCACATACAGCCTTAGAAAGAGAAAGAATGGGGGCTGGGGATTTAGCTCAGCGGCAAAAGCACCTGCCTGGCAAGCGCAAGGTCGTGAGTTCAGTGCCCGGTACCGGAGAAAAACCAAAAAAAAAAAAAAAAAGAAAGAAAGAAAAAGAATGGATTTCCTTTTGAAGGAAAATTTAATTTTCTAGTGTTTAGGCTATTTGTACCAAAGACCTAAAAGTGCAAATACTTTCCCAAAAGTTGCAGCAATCCTGTTATATAATTAGTGTTTTTAGTTTCATATTAGGATAGACCTTTTCATTTTTGTGTCTACTGTACCTAAGAGCTTCATAAATATTTTTCGATAAATAATATACCAGTGATATAAGTTAGATTTTAATTTTCCAGTGTTCACTATTGCCTCTGGTGTTTGAAATGTTGCTCATATGTCCTTACCATAATTATTACATAGAAATAATTAGTATGGATACAATTCTTGGGTAAATGGATAACATTTTTTCACTCCTCTGCCTCTCTTTGTAGTGCCTTTAATAGAATTAGCTAGAAAGTACTGTTAGTTTTCTTTGTCTCAAAAATAAATTTTAAGACTAGAATTAAGAATAAAACTGTATATAAGTTCCTCAGCTAGCAAATGAAAACTAATATTAAGAATCGTAAAGCAAGCTACATTCAATTTTCCTTTCATAGTGCCAGGATTTAACTTGTTATTGCTGTTCTTTGGTCATTTTTTTATCCTTCTGCCTCATTTTACATAGTTATTTGCATATTTTCTTGCTGACATTATAGAGAGAAGGCCAAGTAGAAGCAGGGATCATGACAGCCACAACATGGTTGAAAGAAGGACCTCCAGCACAGGAACTAGAAACAGTAAGTTACGTTTGAGTATGTAGCCCACTGTGCCTGGAAAACATCTCTTCTGACAATTCTAAGTTTCTTTTCCTTTTTCTTTCATTTCTCACTATGTAAAAAAAAAATCTTTTTTAAAAAAAGTCCTTTAATAAGGACACAAACTGTGTCCTCTCATTAATAATTTATGCTCATTTAATATCCATATTGTAAGAACAAATTCAGGAGCAGTCATCAGGCATTTACATCTTAACTGGAGTTTTAACTATGTCAGGCTCTAAGTCAGAAATTAAATGCATCACGTAGGTGACCAGCCCAATCCAAATAACATTTTACTAAAAGGCAAATTAAATGGAAAAATAGCCATCGTTGTGTGCAGTCATTCTCTGAATCAAAACAGGTTATATATTTTCATTTGAGTCCTTGATCTTGTAATATTTAGTAGCTGCTCACCTTACATATCATGAAATGTATATTGTCATTGTAAGGTTCTTTTTTTTTTTTTTTTTGGTTTTGGTTTTGGTTTTTCTCCGGTACCGGGAACTGAACTCATGACCTTGCCAGGCAGGTGCTTTTGCCGCTGAGCTAAATCCCCAGCCCCTGTAAGGTTCTTTTAGAGGTAAAAGACATGTGGAAGGTTTTTGTTATAATCGCCAGTTTTTTCTCTTTTATTTATAGAGATTAGCTTAGTTACTTTTTCTATTGCTGAAACAAAATACCCAACACCTGAGGTTTATTTCAGCTCACAGTTTGTAGAGGTTTCAGTCCATAATCAGCTGGCTCTAAGGCGAGGTGGCATGGCAGAGGAGCATCACAGAGCAGGCAGGAAGCAGCAGACAGAAGACAAGCAGTAGCAGCAGCAAACAGCAAGCTACAAGCAATCACAGTAACTTTCATTCTGTCCCTTCTATTTTGCTGTAAGGGTGGGTAACACTCACACCCAGGGTAGGGCACCCTTAATCCCAGCATCATACACCGTAGATCCAGCTACTTCTAAAAACCCACACCTATGACTGCATAAGGCTTTGAGGGGACATCTAGGTATAAGCAATAACAGAAATATAACTACAAATTTATTCCAGCCCAATGAATTTGAATGGAACACTTTTTATGCCAGGCGTTGTGGCACACACCTGTAATCCCAGCACTCGGAAGGCAGGAGGATTGCCACAAGTTTGAGGCTAGTCTGGGCTACATAGTGAGTTCAAGTCCAGCCTGGACTACAGAGTGATACCCTGTCTCAAAAAACTAAAACTAACAAATTTTTTTTAAATTTATCAAAATACTTGAATATCATATCATATGTTGGCAGAAATATCACTAGATAACACTTTCCCTAAGATTTTAACTATTGAACTTCAGTTATAGGGGGCCTGGGGCTTTAGCTCAGCGGCACAGCACCTGCCTGGCAAGCCTGAGGTCGTGAGTTTGATTCCTGGGGGGGACTTCAGTTATAGGAAACTGAAGTATATATTTTACTCTGATGAATGTGAAAAAAATTAAATATTGGATTTAAATATGTAGCACATTTTATTTTAGTGATTAAGATCCTATTAGACTTATTTTTAATCAACATGATCTGTTTTGCAGCTATAAATTCTTTACTTTGTTAACTTGTAAGTTTGTATTGTTCTTCAAATATGATTGGAATTATCTGCTGGGCCTCAGTAAATCCCAATAATTTTTAAGCAATGAGTAGCATGCTTTTCACTTTTGAGGCTAAAATTATGGGTCCTGGCATCTTAAAAGCTGATCCTCCTACTACTTTCCTTAAAAATGATGTGATTATTCAGTTCTCTAGGTTGAACTTTTATTTATTTTGCAAAGAGAAATGACTGTACCAGATTCGAATATTAAATCCTTTACTGTCGTTCTATCCAGGGTGACAGGTCCCGAGAATGAGGTGCCCACGGATGAATAGAAAAAGTAAAAGAGATAAGAAAAACAAAAGGCAAAACTCTGAGATGGGGGGCTGATAGCCTCTCAGACTGCAGCACCGATTACCAGTCTCAGTCACCTTTTATTGAGCAAGAACCAAGGGTGTAGCTAGTACAAATGGTCAGATACCAAATGTTTTAGTAATTAAAGCATTATCTTCCTCCAATTCTGCCTCTTATGCTGCTGGCAACAATCCCCTGGTGGGCCTCCTACACTCAGCACCACGCTTACTCAGTTTAGCTGGGGGTTATAAGTTGACCACCAGTTATCAATCCACTACAATCACAGTCCTTACTTCCCATTAATTTTTACAATGCATGGCAAGACTAAAAAATAGGAATCTCCTGCAATTCAAATACATTCTTATCTTCAGGTGAAAGGTTTCAGTTCATTTTGCAACAATAAACAAATGATTGTGTGTCCTCAGTGCTTTCTAATCAAAGAATGTCCCCCACACTTTACATTCATTATAGATGTACTTTTAAAAAATACCAAGTACTTGTATCTAAATTATCTGACCAAAATCCACTTCCTTCCAGTGTGAGTCAGTAACATTATCTTGGTGTTTTTTCTGTTTCTGTTATTGCTTCTTACATAGCCCAAAGAGCCTGGCTATCAAGAACCCAGAGGACAACAAGGACCAACAGCAGGGAGTGATCTCTACAGTGACCTTAGTGATGATGAATCTATGGGAGCCTCAAGAATAAAGACCACTAAACATAGAACATCTGACTCAAGCAAAGTTTCAGCTTCTTCAGGACAGCTTACCTTATTCCAATGTGGTTTCTCTAAATTATTTGAGACAACATGTAAAGCAATTGAGGGGAGCAATGGACACTCTGCCTCCGGGGAGGAGAGTTTGGATGAGCAGCCCACATGCCTCACCACAGAAGCCAGAGACACTAGTTGTCAGCAGACTCAGGATGTTGTTGGTACTTCAGAACATCAGCAACTAGATAGCATCCCAAGTCCCAGTGAAAAATGTGTTTTTAATAAAAGAGAGATTTTAGAACAGATTGTTTCTTCTGAATCTGATGATAAGAAAAATTTTAAAACTACAGCTGGACATCATTGCGTTTTACAGAATGAGACAGAATCAGAAGATAGTGATGTCATCTTTCCCACACAGTACGCAACTCAGAGAATCCCTAACACTCGGATAAGGCTTAAGCTACCCTTAAATAGAGCTGAAGATTCTCACACAGAAAATCCTGTAAAAGTAAATAACGGTGATAGTAAGGTTGATGATACAGAAAATGGATTAATTTCAAAACTCTTACATCCTGAAGGCATGACCCTGAAGTCTGTTATGAAAAGAAAAAGCACTGATGATATTAGTGATGAGTCTGATGACATTGACATTTCCCCCAAGTCAAGAGTAAGAAGAGAAAGTTCATTGAAGTTTAAGAGCAAAAAGGAAAAAAGGAAACTTTACAGTTTTCCCAAAACATTCAAGAAAACAGGTCCACTCTATATAACAAATGAAGATTGTAACTCTCAGCTTATTGATGAATTTTCATCCTCAGATGATGATTTATCTTCTCGCCACTTCCATTTCTCTAAACAGAGCCATAGAGCAAGAACTATAAAAGACAGAAGCAGTTTCTCTTCAAAATTACCTAGCTCTGATAAGAAAAATAGCACTTTCATACCAAAAAAAACAATGAGATTTTCAAATGAGAGAGTTGTCCATCAGGAACAGATGTATGAATCAATGGATAAGATTTTAGGTAACTACAGACATATTCTAAAACTATTCTCTGAATGATAATTTAGTGCATTTAATAGCTCTGTGAAAAGATTATTGAATTAGCTTGTAAAATAGTTCTACAATCAAGGTGTTATACTGAGGCACAAGTAAGGAAGGGAGTGAGTAGCAGGATAAAGGGTAGACCACCTAGGTCATGACAGAGAGCCACATCTGAATCACAGCCTTTCTTCCCCCATAAATACCAGTCATTATGAATTCAGTAGTATGACTTACATTGAAAATGGTTTTATCACACAAATGTGCATCCCTAGGTGTTATAGTTTAGTCAGATCCCATTTCTAAAAATTTTACATAGTCTCTGAAATCTATAGGAATCCTCCTCCATCCCTCTCATTGCTTTATAGTTTACCTGTTGAAGTACCTGGGCCATTTACAGTTTTTCCCTCAATTTGCATTTTTCCAGTTGTACATGCTCTGTACACTTGAGCATGTTCCTCTGCCCTCTGTGTTATCTGCAAATGAGCAGTAGGCTCCCCAGACTGGATTTATTTCCAGACTCAGGTTCGTTTCCTTTTGCAAGACAAAATCTAGTGTTTGGTAAGACTATCGGACATACAAAATGTTGCTCTGCTCTCTTATAATCTTAGCAACCACTCATTTTTAATGCCTGTAGCTATTCATTTATTTGGTGTGGAAAAATGATATTTTCTGCTTCTGTCATTTCTTTTTTGTTAGTTAGAATGGTTCTTCAGATACTTCCCCACATCAGCTGTTGCTTACCCAGGGCTATGGTTCATATAGGAAAAGCATGGAAAATTCCTTTCTTTATTTACCAGTTAGCAACATAATAAATTAGTTCTATATTATCCTTAAAGAAAGCCTACTCTTTCCTTAATCATTATAAATTGATTTAAGCACACTTAATGATCTCAATCTGTTATAATTAATATCATTATTATGGTTTATTTATCCCATCTTTGCCCAGTGAGAGCCAAATGACATGAACATTTTGGTTGCTAAGATCTTTTAGCAAATCTTCCTTGTTAACTAGTTTTACAGGATGTTCCAGAATTGTGTCATATATTTTCTGGCCCACACCTGGAATTGGTCATTTCTCTAAGAAGCCTTGGGTTTCTTTTAGAAAGTGTGTTTGAAAACCATAGTCTGGTGATGAGAATAATCATTACAAATTATTGGCTTGGTTATTGTCTCTGGAACTTTTCACTAGTCAGACTTTCTGTGTATATATTTTTAGTTGCACATTTATATGTGTATATATGAACATAAATAGATACATGTGATGACAATAAATTACCTCATGAACTCACATTTATACTTCCCTACTTGTATTGGTACTTAATTTGAGAGAGTAGAGCTTTTGCTTAACCTCTTCTATCTTATATTTATTCTGGCTTGCAAACATACAGGGAATGATTTTACCATGATGTCTCATAACTGCTCATATGTTTGGCTCCACATTATAGAACAGACTAAGAATAAAACAGCAATAATGCCATGCTATGATTACTGGAAACATTTTGATTTGATTGTTTTTTTCCATATACCGTCCCATTTCTTTCCATTTCCAAAATGGATGTATTGTGTCGGAGATACTGACATGACATTGTATACTGTTCCCCTTCTCTTGTAGTTTGCAGAGGATTAACTGTAAATTTAATCCTCCACAGCAGTATTTGTATAAGTGTTTCTCTGGTCATTTTGGTTATCTGAAGGTTATTTTCTACTCAATTCCTCAAGAAGTATTCATAGGAATGATATTTTTTCCTGAGATTATTGTAATAACAGTTCATGCATTTATGTGTAAAAGTCGGTTTTGCTGGATAGGAAACCCTCAGTTCTTTATCACACTTTTTTCTGTAGAGTATCTTAAATATGCCACCTCATTTTCTTTTTTTTGTTTTAAAGAGAATAAAAAATAACAAAATAACAATATAGACAACAATAAAACAAAGCAAAAACAGTAAGAATGATACAGGGTTTCACAACAAAATGATAGGAATTAACAGTAGTTGTTATATTACATATTGTTATCTTCAATGAAATTGCTCAGATTACCAGATGTAAGAATGCAAGATTGATCAAACCATTAAAGGGAATAAAAAACTTAAAAAAATTCAAAATGATGCAGAGTTTCACTGGACAAGATGGTAGGATTTCGCCAGTGGTTGCTATATTGCATATTGTTTTCAAATTAGTTGTTCAGATTACCAGATATAAGCATGCAAAATTGGTCAAAAATATCAATCATTTACTGTTCCTTTCAATAAACCATTAAGACATCAACAGTACAATTATCTCAGCTATCCATATATATATATATCCATATAAATCCATATAAATATATAAGAAAATGAAGAAGGGAATATATACATAAACTATGAATATATATATATATATATAAACTATGAATATATATATATATATTCCCTTCTTTCTTCATTTTCTTCTGATACAAAGTGTTATGTCACATGTCCCCTTTCCCTCCTCTCCATGCTTAGAGAACTTTTTTTCCTTTCCATTGCTGTCCAGTAATTCTACTAGATTATATCTTTGTTTTGGTTATTCTGAATCAATGTTCTCATATACACAGTGTCCTTTCCCCTTGACTTTCATTTCAGGAAAGCTTTCTTGTGCAGTGTTATTACTTTTTCTGTTCTTTTGCTTTGGCTTTCATTTTCAGGGACTCCTGTTATTTAATGTTTACTCTACACTGCCACAGAATTTGCCAGAAATCCATCTTATCTCTTTCCTTCATTTCCTTTTTTTTTAGTGGGGTACTGGGAATCAAACTCTCAACCTCACACTTGTCAGGAAAGTGCTGTGCCATTGAGCTATATCTCTGACCATCTTCTTTTCTTTTTGCTTATTAAAAATTCCCTTCTATTTCATTTAAGACATTATCTGTTGTGTTCATTTCATCTTATGTTCCTTCAGTCTTTATTTCTAAAGTGCTTTTTTTAATTTCTGAGACTTTGTGAGTCCCGTCACTGATGTCTGAGTTATAATTCTGACTTGCATGTCCTTTTATGTTCTTAAAATCAGTTATAGTTTTGACCTGTTTTCTGAGCACATCTTCATATCTTATTTTCAGTGACAGGGATTTATCCTGCTGCTTATTTTTTTTCTCATCATAAGTTTTGACATTTGACCTTGATACTTTTTTCATGGTTTTTTTTTTTTACACAAAATTACTTGCTTTTCATAATGGTTAATCCCCTGTCCTGCACACTGTGATCCCCTCTCAGCAGTTTCTCCTCTTTGTTGAGTTTTGTTCTGGGCAGGAACCCTGGCAGGTCAGTTTGGGGAGTTCCTAGAAAGTAGTATGTTTCAGTTCCCCAGCCCTTCCTCCTGCAGCCTGCCAATCCCCTCAACATTGGTGAGCAGGACACCTGGCCAGATTCAGCTGCTGACCTCTGGCTGGCGTAGTGGGCTTTCCCACAGTACCTATTGACCCTCGTAGAGTACTTGTTCTTAGGTCCATCAGTGCCATCCTGGTGCTTCCTTCTCCTTCACACAGACCCTGATGTCTTGCAGACTTCATACCTATTAGTGGGTTATCCCTGCCTGCTTGAACTTTAGGGCTCATGGGCTTATCTCATTTAATTTTGCTGTGATGTTGTGCATGGATTTTTAGTTTTGCTGTTCAGGTACTGTTCGCAGGTAGGGATTCAGAGAGATTGAAAAACTGCTTCCCTGGCTACCAGTCTCTGCCCAGAATCTGTTTAGTGATTTTTAAGAGTTAGCATTACTTTCGGTGCTTGGCCTATTCCCACAAGACTATGTGAAGGAAGCTAATACAAAAGAAGAGATATTTTATTTATTGTTGTGTTTGATTTATACATCAGGCTTTTATCATCAACAGTCTCCTTTAAAAGTGCATTGGGATACATAATTTGGTATCATTGTAACTGAGTACTGGTTATCCTTTGGTTGTGCTCCAGTGAGATTTTAGGTTTGAGGAATTATTGTACAAACTATGTTTTAAACAATTAGTTGACTTGGAGGGGGAGGGTTTCCTGGTAAAAAGGTGACAATATTTTGGAACTAATTCTATTTTGAATAATGCATAAAATGTGCTATAAAATTTTTTAAAAATCTGGGCACGTTTTCTAACAATCCTTTGGGGAGTTTTGAAACTGTGTGTCACACATACTATCTGGTATTTTGAAATTTAAGGAAAATGTTTTCCTAGTTGTTCTTTTAATCTCATTATGTAACAGTGGGTTGTGCTTTCTCACTGGCCCTTTCCAGTTGAGAGAGAGCTACACCACCCCAAATGCTAGAGCTCATGATTGAGGTGCATTGCCAGCGCTGTTTGAGGGAGCTTTGACAGGCCTCTTGGCCAGCCTTCTCATTTATGACCACAATTTAAAAATAATTTATAGGTACCTAAAAGCAAAGCAATAAAAAACAGCCATTTTTAAAATCTCAGATAAAAGCCATGAGTTAATTTTTTTTTTCATTTCCTAAAGAACCCCCATCTTGACAATCTCTGGGTATATGTATTTAAAAAGACAATGCGAGTAATAAAACTGAACAAAGCCAACCAAAAGGAACCCCGTAATCACTACGCCATGCTCCCATTACTGCACACAGACATGCTTCAGAAACAGATAAGGCCAGCACTCCTCCTTTAGTTAGTAAACAACTTTTTTTTAATTAACAGAGAAGACAAATTCATAGCAAGGACCCTCAAACATGACTTTTTTGTGTGCAAAACCCTTATTTCAGGTTTAAATTTAATGATTGTTACCTAAAAGGAATCCTTTTGGGAGTTTTGAAACTGTACCATACGTACTACCTGATGTTTTGAAATTTAAGAAAAATGTTTTTCACCTTACTCTTTAATCATATTATAGAACTATATTTTGTTTTGCATGATTGACATAATTAGCAGTTCTCATATTAGGGAGGGAGAAAAGTCATTTCCAGGTTAACCTAGACCAACACATTTGAAGAATATTGTGATACTAACATAAAAATTAAATGTTCTGTGAGGATTAGAAATAAAGTAGTGGGGTTGGAGGGGTGCAGCTCAGTAGGGCAGAGTGCTTACCTCACATGCACAAGGCCCTGGGTTCAATCCCCAGCCAAATAAAATCCTTTAAAAAAATATTTCATCATCAAAAATGTAGCACAAATAACCTATTTTAGTGTAGTGCTAGTGATTTTAAAGTATACATGGGACTGTATGGCTTCGTATTGCTACATCACCTAATAAGCACTAATTACCCCCTAGATGGTGTTCAGGAAGTGGCTTATGTTCACTCAAATCAGAACGTGATTGGATCAAGCAGAGCTGAAAACCACATGAGCCGATGGGCTGCACGTGATGTATTTGAGTTGCAACAGTTTTCCCAGCTTCCTGCTAACATAGCTGTTTGCAGTTCTAAGGTAAGAAGAATACAGGATAATGCTGTTTATCCTATATTTAATTTTTATCTCATTTTTCACAAGTTACTCACTAGAAACTTAGCTCTAAGTACTGTATTTCTCTCAAAAGTAGCAACTAAAACTGGCATACAAGTAATTATAAAACACAAAACACCCTTTGAGGAACTATAGTCTCTGATAATGTTTTTGATTAAATAAAAAATCTAGATCTTAAAATGTCTGTAATACCGAGTTGCTTAATAGTTTTTCTGATGAAAAGTACCTATACTGCTCCCCTCAAATGCAAAAGAATCTGAGGGAACTATAAAGTCAAATCAGAAACAAAACTTGCTCTTAATTGTTCTGTGGTACTGTGAGTAAAATCCTTGAGTGCTGTGCCACTGACCTACATTCCCAGCCCCTTTATTTGTTTGTTTGATTTCTTGTTTGCTTGATTTTGAGACAGGGTCTTGCTAAGTTGCATAGGTGGGATTTTAACTTGGAATCATCCTGCTTCAGCCTCCCAGTGTGCTGGGATTATAGGGAGTGCCATAGCTCCCATCTAAAATGAAATTTTCTTTGGTTTGTTGTTTTTATTAATTTCCATGAGTTAAATATCTGAGTTGTTTTACTATCACTTTATGGGAAGTTTAAAACATATACTTTCTATAATAGTGATATTTTGTTTTGACTTAGTATTACTTTTAGAAATGGAACAGGAAAAAATTCTCTCCAAACTCTCAAGTTGTGTTTATTTATTTGTACCACTCCTGGTTCAACAAAGGATTTGAATCATCTTAATAAAACCAGAGTATATAGTGAAGTGCAAGACCAGAGAAAATATACTGTAAATTAAACTGGAAATCTAAGACTGGGAGAAAATCAGAATCTACAAATACAGGACATAATATTCTACCTGAGTATTTTATTATTGGAGTTTTCTGATGGACAAATAAAGGAAGTCAACTTTCTATTTAGTAATTTCTCATTGAGTGCATTTGGAAGTGTGTATGGGGAGTTTAGGCAGTCACAATGACCAAACGCCCAACTGACATTAATATCTGGAGGCCAGGGCTACTAAACGGCTGTCCTGGACAGGGGGCAACAGAAAGGGTCATTCTGCACAAAATGCCATAGCTCCCTGCTAAGAAACACTGAGGTAAATTATCTCCTTAAGGTGGAAAAAACAACAACAACAAAACTCCAGCTCTTTCAGAAGTAAGACTTTTCCTAGACTTAATTTGAAAGAAACTTGTCACTTCTGGCTTTAGTTGGGGACCACTGAATGAACTAATAAAGAGTAATATCCTTAAGGTACATGTAATAACACACTTTAAAAACCTGTGCCTTTTAGCATTTTTCAGTGGACTAGAAAGACCCATTGCCAAAATACAATTTAAAGAATGTTTTCATGACCCAATTAGGGTGACTGATACTCTTACTTGATTAGGTGCATACCAGCTCTCAGCCGCCACTCTAGACGGCACTTCTACAGCAGACTGCCTTGTAGGAGCCATCTGAAAAAGGCAGAGATGTATTGTGTAAAGTGTGATCAAAATAGATGGTAAATGAATGTTTTAATGTTTAAAATGTATTACAGTAGGCTGGGCATAGTGGCGCATGCCTATAATCCCAGCACTTGGGAGGCTGAGGCAGGAGGATCGTCGTGAGTTTGAGACCAGCCTGAGCTACAAAGTGAGCTCAAGGCCAGCCTGAACTGCATAGCAAGACCCTGCCTAAAAAAAAGAAAAAAGACAAAAACAAAAAAATGTATTATAGTAAAAGGCACATTGCCAGTAATTCCCCTCAAAGTATTCTCCCTTGCTTCAAACACACTTAGCCCTTCATACTTGCACATTCTGAAGCAGTTCTGGAAGTCCTCTTGTGAATGTCTTTACAATAAAAAATAGTGAATGCTGCTGCCAAGGGCCATCCACAAGAAAGGCAGGCTTGTAAAAGCATTATGGCTATCCTTGCCCAGTTTATTGACAGGATCTGGCACCTTGTGACTTCCTCAAACTCAAAAGGACCATGAAAGATAAACATTTTTGATCAATTCAGGACATTAAGGCAACCGTGACAGCACAACTAAAGACACTCACAGAAGAAGACTTCCAGAACTACTTCAGAAAGTGGCACAAATGATGGAATGTGTGTGTGTTAAAGCAATGGGAGTATTTTCAGGGGCATTAATGGCACTGTGTCTTTCTTGGTAATTCATTTTTAAATTTTATATACTTTTCAATTGCACTTTGTATATCAGGTTTTTTTTTTAAATTAGGATCATTTTTTTAAAATCATCCTCTTTAACAAACAGATATTAACATGAAAGGTCAGATAATTTGGTAACCTCTGTAGTACATTTTTAATGAAATATTTAACTGGATATTGGTTTAAATTTATCTAAATATTTCTCAGAGAAGAAATTTATAGGCATATAACTCTCCCAAAAATGAACTTGAGAAGCAACCCTTAGATACAGAAGCAATAAAGCAGGCCCTGTGCAACCTTAGGAAAGTTGTAAAAATGCAAATATATTTTGCCTCTAACCTTTTCCAGCCCCAACAGTTTTGAGATGGACAACACAGTCTCATTGGAAACCTTGTCTCTTTACAGTGATTTTCAGAGTGAGGGACAATTTCATACCAAGAAAGAAATTGGAATAGCTGCCTCCTGAGGTTTCTAATGTGTCCTCCCAGGCCATATATCTCACCCACTGTCCATGCACCAACTTTGTACACCCTTTTCAGGGAATATGAAGAAATTTGTTGTTTACTGAATAAATTATGGCAGGTAAAATGTTCAAAGGAGTTTTAAAGCTGCTAAGGGGGAGGTTCAGTCCCATGCCATCAGTGCTAGCAGGCCAAGAGCAGTCTGTATAAGAACTCATCTTAGTAGAGTAAAATTCCTTTCCAACATTTCATAAGCCATGCCATGGAACTTCTGAGCAAAAAAAGTGTTCACAGTCACTGATTTCATCATATCGGGGCAATATTATTTCAGCACCTTTAGTGAGGAAATCACTGAAACACTTATGTCTTTGTTTTTGTTTTTTTGTTTTGTTTTGTTTTGTTTTGGTACCAGGAATTGAACTCAGAACCTTGTGCTTGCCAGGCAGGTGCTTATGCCACTGAGTTATATCCCTGGCAGGCCAGCCTGAACTGCATAGTGAGACCCTGACTCAAAAAGACAAAAATAAATAAATAAATAAAGTTTGGCTAAGCTGTGATTTTTTTTTTTTTAGACAAGGTCTTGCTGTGTAGTTCAGGCTGCCTTGAGCTCACTATACAGCGCAGACTGGCCTTGAACTCACAGCAATCCTCCTGCCTCAGCCTTCCCAGTGCTGGAATTACAAGCATGTACCACCATGCCCGGCTAGTTGTGATATTTTTTTCATTGAATTTTTTATCTAATTGATCTGTCTATTTATGATAGTATGGTATTAAAGACCCCCATTACAACTGTATTTAGTGATTATTTGATTTTTCATGTCTGTTAATATTTGTTTTATATAGTTGAGTGCACTGGTATTTGGTGCATATATATTTATGATTGTTATCTCTTCTTCTTGGATTGTTCCCTTTGCAAGGATGTAGTAAACTTCTTTGCCTCTCTTAATCAGTCTTGGCTTGGAATCCACTTTGTCTGCAAATAAAACAGCTACCTCTGCTTTTTTCCCAGTTCCTGTCACATGGAGTATTGTTTTCCATCTTTGACTTTCAGTTATGAATTT